GTGTTTGCATCCGCAATCATGTTTTAGGTCGGAACTCATGGTGCTGTGTGGCGCATGTGAAGATGCAAAGGCCTTTTTTGTGTGTGTGTGTCTTTCTTTTTCTTGATTGTCACCCTCTCTCTCTCTCTCTTTGCGTTTGTCTGTGGGCGTCTGCCGCCGCTGCGCAGCCCGCCCCGCCGCGTCCCCCTGCGTCTTGTTTCTCTGCTGCCGGTGCTGGCGGCGGAGGGGTGCCCTCGTTTGAATCGTCCTCGTTGCCTTTGTTTGTTGTTTCTTTGCCTTTGCTGTGCGCAAAACGCATGGTCGCCGGGGGGAGGAGTTTTACGTATTACCGTGTTTACTACCATTGAGCTACACCCCCGCAAGCAATGTCCACGCAGCTTTTGGAGATTAAGGCTACCTTGCCGCTTGGTCTCTTTGGTCTGGACCAGCTAACGTGGTCGGGCAAGGCCGGGTCGCTGTGGGAGTGCTGGAAGCTGGCGCCGTGCTGTGGGGACCCGGACCTGTTGGGGGTCATCTGCTGCTTTGTGCACTGGACCTGCCTGAGCCCGTTCAGCATGTGTAAGCTGTACGCCTCAAGCCTGGGTGACCCGTGCTCGATCTGGCCCCACTGTTTCTGCATTCTCTGCTGCCCCTTCGGCCGCTGGTTCACGCGGTACAACCTGCGCAAGAAGAACATGACGCGGGGCAACATCATCGGCGACTGCTGCTGCGCCTGCCTCTGTTTTACGTTATGCGCATGCTGCCAGGAACTGCGAAGCGTCGACGCCTCTGCCTGGCGCCTTTTTCCTGACTTTACCGTCTGTGGGGCCTACGTCCCGGGCTGCCGCTTCTTGCGGTAGTCCATAGTGGCGGCAACAGCAGCACACACGCGTTGCCAGTTCCGTCGATTCTGCCCAGCGGATCCTGCAGAATTGTAAATAATAGGTAAGTCTCCTTGCTTTTGTATAAAGGCCTGCGGAACGAGTGTAAGACTCGATGGAGACCAATAGATTGCACCGCGCTCTGTGAAATTCTCCTCTCTGATTATTTTCCACGGAAGTATTTTGTTCGCTTGCTTATTATTTCAAGGATGCAACGTTGGGGAGCTGCGCGAGTGCGAGTGCAATCGTGTTTTTTGTTACTTCTTTTTGTCTCATTCTCCCAGCCAACGGCCTCCTACTAGCACTGCTACGGCTACTCATAATATGGGCAGCCGCCACGCGGGAAGAAAGAGAAAAAAAAACCCGCAGTTGAGAGGAGGTAGGAATGTGTAGAGGGTGCAGAGACGGTCACTTTGTCAGCTTACAACGATACCCATTGTAGTAGTTACGTTTTTTTTTTTGACTGAACTTTTAACTTATGTGAGCAGGCTCGTAGGGTGTTTGGCTTCTGTTTGTTTTGGCGGTGATTTGTGTCTGCTGCTCGCCGTGGCTGCGTCGGTGAGCCTCCGCAGTGCGGGCGTCTGTCTGTGTGCGTGGGTGGGTGTGACGAAAGCGAAGGGAGGCTCTGTTGTCGCCGCCGCACGCTCTCCGCTCCTTCTCCCTTTGCTTTGGCCCCCCACACTGTGTGTGTTTCTCTCCCCCAGCGCGGTGTGTGCGGACCGCAAAGGGGGGTGGGGCGGTGGAAGAGCGCCGTCGTTGTTTGGTTATTATACTAGTTGCTGCACCGCAGGGGCCGGGTGCTTCCTTCGCGCGGCGGGGACAGGCCGCGAGCACGCGCAACGCGCAGGCAGAAGGGCCGTGTAGGTGACGTGGGAAATGTGGACGCCCGGCAAAATGTCGCCCACCACCGACGCGCTGCTGCTGGGGCGTGTGGGGAGCGACGGCGTTGAGGACGTCGCCTCCGCCTCGACGTCGACGCCCTGCCTGAAGCACCTCGGCGGGGACGCGCTGCAGGGCGGTGCGGAGCAGCGCAGGTTCGCCGGGTTAACCTCAAGCTGCGCCAGTGAGAAGCTGCTGCTGGGGCCACAGGGCGGCGGCACAAGCAGCAGCTTCACCATAGGCATGGGGACGCGGGAGAAGAAGCGGCCCCCCTCGCTCTTCTCCACACCCGCCTCCTCCATGCCGCAGACGCAGCGTGAGATGCCGATGGGGTGGCAGGCACCCGCAATGCCGGCGCCGCCGCTAACGCCTTCGCAGCAGCAGCACGAAAGGGAGCTGGCATTGACGCCAGGCGGCGGCGCGATGGAGGGCGATGTGCACCAGGTGCGAAGCTCTAGCCTGCCGTCGCCGCAGTCGGGAGGCAGACTCACCCGTGCGCACTCCGTCGGGGCGAGTTGGCTGGAGCAGCTGAACTGGACTTGCCCAGAGAAGGCGCCGCTGCTCTCCTTGTCGGAGGACAGACGCGTGTTGCTGGCGGGGCCCTTTCGCGTCTCCGGTGAGGGATGTCTTACCATGCAGAATGTACTGCTGCTGAACTCCAGGAATTGGAAGAGTGGCGAGAGTCAGGCCGCGGAACGGGGAGCCAAAAATTTGCTGCTGCTCCCAGGAAAAATGCTCTTCCCTGCGGAGCCGGAGGCCAACAACTCCTTTACCCTCCTTTCCGCCAGCGTTGACACACCGTACAGCCCCATCACGTACTCCCTGGACACCAACCCAACGGCCGCCCAAAACGTCTCCAACCCTGCGAGCAGAACGCGATTTCAAGACAAGGGGTTTGCGATTCCACCTCCGCTTCCCACAGGCAGTGAGGCGCTCCGTGGAAGCGAAGAGGCGGATAGCGTGGAGTTCTCCTCAACACGCGGCTCGGACAACGCCTCGGCGATAAGTTTTCTGTCGCACGCGGAGATGTCTTTAAGGACTGAGCTCCCGGCCCCGTTGCCGCCCAACGCGGTGAGGTACGGGGACCTGAAGATCATGTCGCAAATTGGGCAGGGGGCGTCGGCGACCATTTTTCTGGCGAAGCACCTCCCCACGGGGCGACGATTGGCTGTCAAGCGCATTGACCTCTCGCCCTTATTTCTTGCCTGGAACACGTCGGGGGGAATAAATACGCAGCGCCTGGCATCCACCGCCCACCTGCGTCAGCTGCAGCTCATCGGGGTGCGAGAGCTGCAGGTGCTGCATCTGGCGTACCGGAGCCCGTTTATGGTAAAAGTGTACAACGCCTTCTACGCCGCGGAACCCATGGCGCTTGACCTCGTGATGGAGTACATGCACTACGGTGGCCTGGACCACCTGCACAAAATATTGTGTGGGGGGATGCAAAAAAATGGTGCGCCTGGGGAAGATGCGGCGCGGGGTGATCGGGGCAACGCGGGAGGAATCAAGGAGGTGCCGGAGCGCCTGGTGGCGGTGGTGGGCGAGCAACTTCTGCGCGGCGTGCAGCACATGCATGAACGCGGGTACATTCACAGGGACATCAAACCCGGCAACGTCCTCGTCAACCGTCACGGTATTGTGAAGCTGAGCGACTTTGGACTCTCCCAGCGCTGCGCCGCAAGCGCCGACAGGGCTGGCGACAAGGCCGCCGCAGCGCAGCTTTTCTGCGGCACACCCACCAGGGAGATGTTCTCACCTCTCCGGGAGCCCCTCTCCTTAGGCAGCCTCACCAACTCCTCCGACAATGTCCACTGCTCCGGCACAAACAAGTACATGAGCCCGGAGCGACAGCGTGGAGAACCGCATGGGAAGCCGAGCGACATTTGGGCAGTCGGGATGACACTGGCAGAGTTCGCCGTTGGCCAGTACCCCGTCAACTTAACCGACTGCGAGGATGCCTTTGAGCGTGCGTTCCGCATAGCGGCCCCGTTAGACCTGCAGAAGTACCCGCGGTCCTCCCCGCTGAGTGAGGAGTTCATTGACTTTATCCGCATTAGTAGGCTGCCCGTGGCGGCCGAGCGCCCCACCGCCGGTGAGCTGCTTGAGCACCCCTTTTTCCGCCAGTGGAGGGGCGAGCCGTTCTCCATCGAGCGCTACCTGCGTGAGAACATCGCGGAGTAGCCGTCGACCCGCCGGGGCGGGCAGGGGTGGGGAGGCGATTTCTTGTGCATCTCTCTTTCTCTGTCTCTCTCTCTCTCTCTCTCAGTGTGTGTATGTTGTGTGTGTGTGTGTGGCGGAGGGAAAGCGGGCGTCAAAACCAAAACCAAAAAACCGAAAAAAGGCGACAAA